AGCAGGGATGGGAGCACTGGTTTTCGGCAAGATCAATGAAAGGACAATTGTGATGACTATATCATCAGGAAGTGATGATATAGTCGTCTTCACTGATGTTGCTATCTCACAGCCCAGGGTGGGAATTTCACGGACAACTCCCCCCACATGAGTACTGGGATACTGAAAAAGTGTATCCCAGTTCCATGGAAGGAGTCTGTTGCCATGGTGGAGCTGGGAATGTGGTCTATGTTGTTTATGGTCACAGCAGTGAACAGACCAGCACGAAGCTTTAGAGACAGACTGCATTCTCATTCTTGAAGTGTTGGCATGCATGTTTGCCATGCAGGTAGAGATAGCAGTGCTCTGTCGTAGGAGATGGACAATCCATGTTTAAAGAAATTTCTACTGGTTCACTTTTTTCATGTCTGTGCATAAAATGTCAGACCACCATAGACTGGGAAAGGCATTTCTTGAGCTTTGTTGTGGTACAAACTGCTTAATTTGTGCCATGGCTTGCCAGAGCTTAGCCCCAGCACCTCTAGGCTTGGCAATTCATAGCCCTGGCACCTCTGGGCATGCTGCATCAGTTAAGAACATAAGAATGCCCCTACTGGGTCAGACCAAACGTCCATCTAGCCTAGTATCCTGTCTTCTGACAGTGGCCAATGCCAAGTGCCCCAGAGGGAATGAACAGAACAGGTAATCATCAAGTGATCCATCCCCTGTCGCTCATTCCTAGCTTCTGGCAAACAGAGGATAGAGACACCTTCCCTGCCCATCCTGGCTAATAGCCATTGATAGACCTATCCTCCATGAATTTATCTCGTTCTTTTTTGAACCCTATTATAGTCTTGGCCTTCACAACATCATGTGGCAAAGAGTTCCACAGGTTGACTGTGCGTTGTGTGGAAAAAATACTTGGTTTGTTTTAAACCTGCTGCCTATTAATTTCATTTGGTGACCCCTAGTTCTTGTGCTATGAGATGAAGTAAAGAACACTTCCTTATTTCCTTTCTCCATGTCATGATTTTATAGACCTCTATCATATCCCACCTTAGTTGTCTTTTTTCCAAGCTGAAAAGTCCCAGTCTTATTAATCTCTCCTCAGACAGAAGCCGTTCCATGTCCCTAATAATTTTTGTTGCCCTTTTCTGAAACTTTTCCCACCCCAATGTATCTTTTTTGTGATGGGGCGACCACATCTGCCCACAGTATTCCAGGTGTGGGCATACCAGGGGTGTATATAGGGGCAATATATTTTCTGTCTTATTATTCCTTTCTTAATGATTCCCAACAGTCTGTTCACTTTTTTGGCTGCTGCTGCACATTGAGTGGATGTTTTCAGAGAACTCTCCACACTGACTCCAAGATCTCTTTCTTGAGTGGTAACAGCTAATTTAGACCCCATCATTTTATACGTATAGTTGGGATTATGTTTTCCAGTGTGCATTACTCTGTATTTATCAACATTGAATTTCATCTGCCGTTTTGTTGCCCAGTCACCCAGTTTTGTGAAATCCTTTTGTAGCTCTTCGCAGTCTGCCTGGGACTTAACTATCTTTACTAGTTTTATGTCATCTGCAAATTTTGCCACCTCACTGTTTACCCCTTTTTCCGGATCATTTATGAATATGTTGAATAGGACTGGTCCCAATACAGACCCGAGGGGGACACCACTATTTACCTCTCTCCATTCTGAAAACTGACCATTTATTCCTACCCTTTGTTTCCTATCTTTTAACCAGTTCCTCTTATCCCATGACAGCTTACTTTGCTTAATACCCTTTGGTGAGGGACCTTGTCAAAGGCTTTCTGAAAATCTAAGTACACTATGTCCACTGGATCCCCCTTGTCCACATGCTTGTTGACCCCCTCAAAGAATTCTAGTTGAACACTCCTGCCAACAAAGCACTGTTCACATCAGCACTTAATGTAGACAAAACTTTTGTCTTTTGGTGTGTGTGTTTTTAACATCTCTGAACAAGAAAAGTTTTGTCTTTCACTTGCCAGTGTAGACAAAGCCTTACTTTTTCAAGCACTGATCTGTCAGCGGAACTGCATGCCTGTGGACTTGAGGATCTATGCCCAGAGTAGAAGCTTCATGTGTTTACCAAGCCAAGGTCAGATAAAAGCTGTAACCTTGGGAGTGTAATAAAAATTAATAGAAGCCTGGAGTGGCAAGTATTAATTTTTATTACACTCCCAAGGTTACAGCTTTCTCTGACCTTGGCTTGGTAAACGCTGCCACCACCCAAATGTAAAAAACCCCCTTGGATCCAGGAAAGAGCACTTGGGAATTCCTCCCTGTGCGCACGCTCGCGCGCGCTCTCTCTCTCACACACACACCCACCCCCCTCCCCGGGAAGAGCTGAGAGAGAAAACAAAGGAAAGTAGCTGTTGCCACCAGCTAATCAAACAGCATATGCACAAACCTCTTAGGACACCAAAAATCCAATCCTGTTCTTAAAAAAGGTAAATTTTATTAAAAACACAAAGAAAGAAAATACATCTGGAACTTAGGCTTTTGCTAGATTTTAAAAGAGCAATTCCAAAAACCAAGCACCCAAACTAGCTTTCTTAAGGGTTCATCTTAAAAGTTACAAGCAAATAAAAGCATCTGGGATTAGCACAGAGGAGATCCATTAGCCAAAATAAAAAATAAACCTGATTGTGTCTAACTAAACATTCCCTATCCAAATCATTTCCTCTAGATTTGGAAGATGAATTTTCGTACCTGGTTCAAGCCTTACACAGCACTGCAGCCCAGAGAACGACAGACAAAGGGAAAGCTTCTTTCCAATTTTAAAAAGTTCTACATTTCCATTGGCTCTTTTGGTCAGGTGCCCAATCCTTTTCTTTTACCTATGTATGGACTTCTTAACCCTTTATAGGTAAAGCAAGCAGAGAACAGACCAAGAGGATTTTACAGCTAACTGGTTGGCTGGCTGTCCATCAAAGGGAGCTACTCTCCCCTCCCCCACTGCTCGAATCACACCATCATCTAATATACGTATGTCTGTGGATATGGGACGTGCCTTCAGCTTATAGGAACATCTGATATTTTCTAGTAGAGTTTGATAGCCACATCCAACATGCTCTCTTTCTGAGTCTGCTGGATCAGTCAACTCTGCACCTGTATCTTCCTGACAAAGTACACACTTGCCCCAGTCAATAGAGGAATGGCTCTCTGTTGATGGACCTGCTCTTGAATAAGCTTGTCTAAAAGATACATTTGAAGCATTAGTAATAGCCAATAATAATCTAATATCTTTCTCTACTGTGTGCAGTCAGTACCACCCCATCACCAAGCTGCTTTCACATAACCAAAGTACCCTCTGAAAGAAAAAGAGAAATGTGATTAAATTCTGCCAAGACCACACTGACAATCAAAATTAGTACAAAGATGTGTCCTTACGCTGATGTTAAGGTCATGTTGAAGGAAAACTAAGAATACAGCCCTTGTGTGTCCAACTGTAAAGCAATGTTCTTTGCCAATTATGGGAATGTTGTTAAAATGGCTGCCACAGCCAACACAGCATGAGTTGGCAATGGCCCCATCTCTGAAAAGCGTTATTAGGTCATGCCCTGTGACTCTGCCAAGTTTCACACTTTTATCGTAAAGCCCACAAGTTTTTTTTTTTTTGGGGGGGGGGGGGGGGATCTGATTGGCTATATGAATGACCTCCAGCTACGGAGATGGTGATGTTCTTAACCAAAATGGGCTAAGTTATTGCTGGCAATGCTTCTCAGCCTTTAGTATTAGGGATGAATTTAGCCATTGCAGGAAGTTTTATCCAGCTGATAGCACGCCTGCAGGGCAAAGCAGATTTCCTCCTTGACAAAGTCATTTACTTCTCCCAGAGGTGAGGCCAAGTCAGATCGTACCATATGTGATCTAATGCTTTCTGGGAGTGCGAGAAGCAAGCTCTCCTTGTGACAGGTTTACCCTCACTGTTAAATAAATTGTGCATTATTCCAGTCTAAATGTGTCTAGCTTCAGCTTCCCCCTTGGATCTGGTGATACTTTTGTCTGCTAGACTGACGACTCCTCTGTTCTACATCACTAGCAATTTTTAATTCAAGATTGCATGTTTTTATGAGCTCTGCTCTAGTTCTAACACAGGTTAATTCAGGGATGTCCTATGATCGGCGTTATACAGAACATGCTGGGTGATCACAGTGGACCCTTCTGGCTTTATAACCTATGACCGGTGTGTTAAGTCACGTTGCTGCTCCTTGGTAGAAGCAATGGGTTTATTATGGCTGGGGTCAGCTTTTCAAGGCAGCCTTCTTTCTGCTGTAAGTGCAGTGATAAACAAGACCAGGCTCCTGCCATAAGGCGGAGATTGTGTGCTATTAAAATACTGACCGGATCAAAACTGCATGATGCATAATAAATACTGGCCTTTCAAAGCACATTTACAAAAAGGAGGGATTTGCTTTGTTTGTTTTTTGAACACACAGGGAAAGTAGGGGTAGGTGTGTTAATACCATTTCCAAACTTGGATCCATAAAGAAATACGGACTTAGGGGCAATCCTTTTGGTCCAAGAGACTTCACCAAGATCACAATGCAAGTCAGCAGCAGAGCTAGTGAGCTGTAGCTCACGAAAGCTCATGCTCAAATAAATTGGTTAGTCTCTAAGGTGCCACAAGTACTCCTTTTCTTTTAGTTCTACTATGCTATCCTTTGCTCTATCTCCTGACTGGTACCTTCTGGAAAGTGTTCTCTTGTCCTCACTGGTCTGGTTTTAGTTGTGGTATCATGTGACAGCGGTGGGAATTCCAATCTCCCATGGGAATGTTTGCTGTACCTCTTTGCATACTAATAAGCAAGCCATTCTGCCAACACCCAGCCAAGCAGGGAACGCACTTTTGTCAAGCTACAGTGAGCAGAGTTGTATTCCACAGAATGCCTGTGTTTGAAGGCAAGAATTGTGGAAGATTTTCCTCACATGCTTTCAGTCTCCAGCTTCTTTGCTTTTCAGGAGCAAACAGATTTACAAACAAAGCACAGCATTGGATGTTTCCCCAACATTTTATTTCCAGAGATTGAACTTCAATTTCAAGTACAATTTTCCATTCCTGTGCCCTTTCCCCAGATAAAGCAAATGCAGGGGGGAAACAATACGTTTCACTACAGTGATCAGTAAAAAATAAATATTCTAAAACTCCTGGACATCAAGACTTCATGTCATATTTTAAAAGAGCTGGTAGATTATTTTCTTCCCAACCAAAGATTTGATCAATAGAGAAGAGTTCTGTCCCCACAGTATTCAGGTGGGGACGGAGCTAATTCTCTTTAAAATATATTCAGGACTTCAACAACAATAAAAAACCACACTACAATTACTTCTGTACATTACATTACTATGACAGGTTTCAGAGTAACAGCCGTGTTAGTCTGTATTCGCAAAAAGAAAAGGAGGACTTGTGGCACCTTAGAGACTAACCAATTTATTTGAGCATAAGCTTTCGTGAGCTACAGCTCACTTCATCGGATGCATTTCCACTGAATGCATCCGATGAAGTGAGCTGTAGCTCACGAAAGCTCATGCTCAAATAAATTGGTTAGTCTCTAAGGTGCCGCAAGTCCTCCTTTTCTTCTTACATTACTATGTACATTTGTGATACATCTGCCAATTGAATGTTCTCTTGATCAGAATTCAATTGCCAGAACAGAACAGCTTCGCAGCAGTCTCCGGTCCTGCACACCACAGCTACAGATGAGCTACAGTCCATTTCGCCAGGCAGCTTCTTGCTTGGTGCGTTCGCTCGCTCCAACCCGTTAGTGGTGCCAGCAAATGTGCAAACAAAAAATGGGGACATGGAAGTAATGCCAGGTGTAGTCACAGCATCAGATAAGGGGCCGTGTTTAAAAAACACTTGGGAAGAGTCAGAGCACTCTGGGAGCGAAGGCTGTGCCTAATGGGAATGCTTCTGTTTGTCTTCCAGTTTTGCGTGTGTTGTGATAAGGTGCCATACGGGTGGATTCCTAGCTACTCCTTGCTCCACGCCAGAGGGAGGGGTACTGAAGGCCTCACAATGGAGCCATTCTTCTTCTGGCTGCAGAGGTTGCATCAATACCAGCCACAGGGCTATGCCTGCGCGTAGCCAGTCCCTGCTCCAGGGTCCACGAGCAACCACAATGCAAGAGAGACTAGGGCTCCAACAAGGCACTTCTGAGCACAGACAGGAAGCCACTGTTTAGCCTGGCTAGTTTTATGCCCTCTAGTCAACGGGACCAAGTTTAGATACTTCTAAGGATGCTGATGCAATCAGAATTAGGGACTCAATGGCTTGAAAACAGTCAAGTGCCCCTCTGCTTGGACCCACTGCAACAGCTGCCACATGCTATTGTGCCTGAATACCACTGGTGAACGCAAGGATTGCTCTACTGGCCCTCCTGGGGCACGCAAGTGACTCATTTGTCATTTCGAGACTCAAACACAGTGTAGCAGAAATATCAAGGTCTGGCACTGTGAAATGCTGAGCACCTTCAGTTCCCAGTGAAGTCAGTTGCATCTCCCAGGAGGCATTCAGGGCCTCACAGGATCAGGCCTCTAGAAAAGGAGCTTCAAAGTGCAGGACTTGCTTCGGCAGTTCTCATCAGTCTGCTCTTCCGGGGGCACACTTTGAAGGTCAGGCTTATTTTCACAACCCTAGAGAAGGTAGGAGGCAGAATCTAGGTGCTTACATGACCCACTTTCCCCTTTCCCAGACAGCTCAAGTGAGAAAACCTCAACCTTTATGAGAACACGCATTTGTCAAAAAATTAAGGCAGAAGGATCTTACCCCAGTAGTTTGGCTATTTTATTTTCAAATGCACTCTCAGACTGAATCATTAATTAGGAGGACACCAATGTTAAAAACTAGTTAATCCAATGGTTATTTTAATTAATTTTCTTTATCGGAATGATACTCAAATCATAATTTGTCAATTGAGGCCATAACTTGAACTGTAAGGGCCTGATTTGGGTCTCACTCCAGCTTTACCCAGATGTTAGTCTGGCTTCAGTGACGTTACTCCAGATTGACACCACAGCAAAGAGATCAGAATCAGGTATCAAGTGTTTCCAAAAATTTGTTTTACTGTTTTGCAATAGTTTTTGATCTAGCTACGCCTGGACTGACATAGGTGCATATGTATTAGGTCAATTTCCCTGGTCTTTCATCTGAAGTGAAGTTTGGAGCCTCAGACTTGTAACCACAGGTACAGTCCAAGTTATGTCCAGGGAGAGGTTTTCACATTGCCAAGACGACTCACTGTTGGGTAAAGTCCCTTCACCAGCGAAGTTTACACAGTGGGCCAAATTCCTACCTCAGTAGGTACAACTCCAGTACAGGCAATAAAGCTGGGCCAAGTTCAGACCTGGTGCAACTCCACAGACTTCAATGTAGTTACACCAGGATCCCAAACATTTAAGAGGTTATTCTTTATCCCTTGGTCTGCTAGACATTTTTCCCTTTTCAGAGGCAGGTGCTTTGTAGTGGGAGAGTCATAACTTTCCTTCCTTCAGCACAGGATTCTCTGAAATGATAAGGTCCCACTGCAGTGGAATTTTGGTCTGGTATAGTGTATGTATGGTTTTACGTTTCACTTACAAGATGATCTCACTAGTCTGATTACTTCTATGTGAGCATTAGAGGAGTTGGTGGTTACAATTTACAATATACAGATCTCAAATTTCAATGAGGAGCTGTTCATAATTATCTAAAATAGTAAAATAACCATCTACACTACTTTTTAGGTATACCTCTGCTTTCTCAGCCTAACTGATGAGAAGCCAAGACCCTTGGAGCAGGATAAAAGCCCTACCAGATACAGTATCTGCAGAGAATATAGGACTAGGTGATTCAATGTAAGCCATGTGCTTATGTTCAGTTAGTCACTGGCTCTTCTAAACATACATTTCCTAGCTGTGTCCTACCGCAGTCTGGGCTGCATTGCACCACCTCTAGAAAGGGGTGGTACGTTTTCATCTTTCGTGCAAATGCAAACACTGTTGCTGAGAAGGACTGAGAGCAATTTCAGATTGTCCTCAGTGATCCATTAAGAAAAAAGCCACTGTTGTGCTCTCCTGTGTATTACAAATATACAAATAAACCTACTCTAACTATTTTCATGCCATTTCATTGGGTTAGGACAGGGGACCCCAACCTACAGGCCACCAGAGCATTTCATAAGGCCCACACCCTGCTTCAACACAATATACTAATGGCCAATACATTAGCGTTTTGTCATCATGTTTACATCATTTTAGTTTACACGAGTGTGTAAACAGACAATACTTTACATAGAAACAACCTAGCTAAATACATACGAAACAAGCAGAACTTCAAATATAAATCAATACAGATGCCTTGAAATCTGATTAAAATCTGTCAAATCTGTTTGGCCCACCCAAGGGTCGTGCTTAAGTTCCTGTGGCCCACCCGTATAATAAGGTTGGGCACCACTGGGTCAAGGTGTTAAGCAGCAGTTTTCAAATCAACATCTCAGTGCTTAAGATACCAATCTCAGTGCTTCTGATACTGATCCCAGCCTTCCTGGGCCTCTTCCAGAGTCACAGCTGAGGTTGGGCCTGTGGGGTTGTTAGAGGAACCCCCATCGTGGGTGTCTACTGCCCTACAACTCTAGAAGAAGCAAATAACTTTATAAATTCATGATTTTAAGCATAATAAAAATCTGAAAATGAATTTCTCAACTTAAATCCCTACAGTATCTTTTTGTAAGGAACATGTACTCACATCTTCAGCAAACCCTCAAATATCTGGGAGAGTTTAAATGAAGTTTCCCCATTAACAAGCGTTAAACTTCATGTTAGTTATTACATGTGGTGTCAGAGAGCAGGCATGACATGAACACTTTGAAACAGGCAGGGGAACTGCAGGAGCTGTGTTAACACAGATACTTCCTACCACTCCAGTTTGAAAGTGTTATTTGAAGTGACAAGTCGCTGTTACTTTCAAGTATAGATGATTTCAATGATGAAACCTTTAGTAAGGATTAGGCAACTCATGGATGTTAACACAGGATAAGTCTTCATTTAGGTCACAGGTGTTGCCTTTGGCAGGTTATCATGGTGACACATGAAGCTGTCATCTACACAATATCAAGCGTGCAGTTAAACTTTGCTGCTCCACAAGGCGACTGGAAAGAAGATGTAAGTAGTAGACCAAACGAGATAGTAGAGAGAGACTATTGAATAGGAAGAGAACAAAACCATCAGGATACCTGCAACAGGAAAGTAGCACAGAAAAGTAGGTCAGATACAATTGACAAGGTTAAACAAATGTAAATATGCATTTCACACACTTCCCCAAATCCCTGCCTTTCTGTCACTGAAAGATTTTCTAGCAGGTTTGAGCCTAAAAGATTCTTCTGTTCACTGCTGGAAATAAGTCCTTTTAAGAAACACCAGACACAGGTTGTTTAGTATGATCTGGTCTTCTCTTGCACCTTTCACAGCATGTAACTCTGCGGCAAAAGGAGCCATTGCCACCACGTATAATGTACTTCATGATCTTAAAAGAGAAAATATATAATCCATGAAAGTACAAGCTGCCAGAGCTACTCTTCTATACACCAGCAAAAACCTACTGCCTTCAAGGAAGTTGTGTTAAAGACTGCGACAGCAAATAGAGAGAAGGGTACTGCTAGACGCAGATGCAATGCCATTCCCATCGCAGAGTCTCTGCTGTGCAGCATACAGCTACTAGTCAAAGTTCTAACCCTTCAACGGTCTCTTGTCACACTGCCTTCCTGCAGCACCATGCACAGTGCAGCTGCCAGCCTGGTGAGTTAGTTTCGTGACCCCACCTTTGTATACACACAGTGCTGTGCTTCTACTGTTTCCATGCCATGCCTAGAAGTCTGACAAAATACTTTTCTGGCTGTTTCATGGCTCCATTTCAGGGTTCTATAAATGAATAAAAACATTAATAAAAAATGCAGTTGTCCAGTATGAGCTGCTGGGTATTTTACACCTTCCTCTGAAACATCTGGTACTGGCCATTCCCAGAGAAAGGAAACTGAGCTAGATGGACCATTGACAGGATCTGGCATGACACTTTCTCTGCTTCTGAATCATCTAGGTTTATTTCAGGGAGGAGGGAGCATGACCTAAGAGTTTGATCATAGCAATTGAGAGTTGAGAAACTGGTTCTATTCCTAATCCAAACATGGCCACTATGTGATCTTACACCAGTAACTTCTGTGCCTCTGCCTGTTTGCCAATCCCTAAACACTGAAAAAATGCTCTTCCCCATTTTGTAGTGTGTATTCACAATGTCTCTGGTGACAAGCACTATGGACATTCCATGTATTCTTATTTCTGCTTCTCTTAAAGAGGCACACACTGTATTCAGGCAAGTAAGAACCCCCTCATGTTTCAAACACATGTTGAAGAAGATATATATTTTAGGTTTACAGTATAAAAAAGAAATGTATATTTTCATAGAGCTCCCAAGAACTCTTCGCATTAGTTTACCCTTTCCAGCAGTTCGGCTGAAGGATGAAGTCAGAGAAGGGACTCGATAATGAAGGGCAAAAGCACTATGCCTTCACCCCTTGTGTGTGTGTTATAAGAAACAAATGAGAGCCAAGGTTTTGTGCTGGTTTGTTTTAAAAACTTACCCCCTGCATAGACCATCTTTTTCCAGAGCTGGGACTCCAGTACTTTGTCATGGGGATAGAAGCCCTGGTCAACCATGAACAGGATCATTATCATGGCCACAATCCGTAGAACCACAAGGTTGCCCCCTGTCAAGAGGTATGTGCCCGTCAGGAGGGAAGAAGCATAGGGACAGGGCAGGCCTCGGTACATGAAAGGGATTCCTACAAGAAAGAGGAAGGAATGGGTGACTTTTCCTTTTTAAATGGCCACAAAGCTATAAGACAGAGGATTCTGGGAAATAAAAGAGAATGCTTGGTTCAGCCCTAAAAAGGGGACATGGACAGATTAACCAAAAATTTGAACAGTTCTTCCCCGGTTTTATTTGTAACACCTGACATAAGAAAAATGAACACTTAAAAATCATGTTTCACCATTTACTGTGTGTATTTTTCGTTTCCCTCAGCTGGACATCACCAACGATTAGACAGGGGAACAGATTATCTGGGAGTTCTCACTGTGCCCATCACTCACCATCTCAACGCTAAGAAAATGGATCATAACCGAAAGAAGGACTGCAACCAAAATAGGGTCGTGGGCTAATTTTCCCTCCCTCCTTCCCCTCGAGCAATCGGGACTACGTTTGTTTTCTTCTTTCCTCTCTTCTCCTCCCCAATAGGTTTCCTCCCTCTTGCTTTCCTTTCTTCCACCTTCTCTTTCGTTGCTCTCTCACTCCAGCTATTGAAAGGGAAAATGCAGATGTTCACTGAGCCTTGGAGCACTGGGGAAACCCCAGATGACTGGAGGAAAGTCAATGTTGGGCCAGTTTTAAAAAGGGTTTAAACAGGCCGACCCAGGTAGTTATAGGCCTGTCTGCCAAACATCGACCCAAGAATTAAAAGGCGGCAACGCAATGAACGAAAGTCAACATGGGCTTATGGAAAACAGACCCTGCCTCACTAAACGTGGTATCTTTTTGAGGAGAGTACTTTTATCAACCAAATTTATAACCGTGCTACTGTAATTTCCTGAGACTTCTGTAAGGCAAGTGACTCGGTGCCACACCACATTTTAATTCAACAACTAGAACAGTATAAAGTGAACATGGCACACATTCAATGGACTAAACGGGCTAACACAGAGTCTCAACGTGTTACTGTAAATGGGGAGCCGTCACCAAGTGGGTGTGTTTCCACTGGGGTCCCTCAGGGATTGGTTCTTGGCCCTGCGCTATTTCACATTTCTATCAATAACCTGGGAGGAAACATAAAACCACCACTGATAAAGTTTGCAGATGACACAAACATTGGGCAAGTGGCAAACAATGAAGAGGACAGGGCACGGATACAGTTTGGAGAGTTTAATGTGTTGTTAACAGCACAGACAGACACTAAAGTTGAAAGTCTCTAACATATACACAGCATCTCACCCACTCTCTCCCACAGAGGGCAAAACTATATCCTCTGAAAGAAAAACCTGCTGGAGTGGGACAGAGAGACCAGGAAACTCCACAAGGAGAACATGGTGGCCCCGAGGAGCCTGAACCCTTCCTACTGCTCCCCAGCCCCCAGGGGCTGACCTGCTCCCTCCTCCACAGCAGCAGAGATCCATCACTGGGGCCTCCCACACCTCCGAGCACTACCCCTCCCCCTCACACTCCCCCCACCCCCACACACGTGCCACCACTTGCAGCAGAGGATATGAAATAAAACCAATGAGAGTCCACACTGTTTAGAGCGGCCTCAGAGACTCACAGGGCATGGCTGCTTCTCAGCTACAGGAGTTCAAAAAGCAGGACCAGCACAATTCTCTCGTTCCATTTCCTCCCAGCAGGAGGTGCTGCCCGGCCCCTGTTAGCAGAGACTAGACCAGAACTCCTACAACCAGGTGACCGACTTTCAGCCGCATTACACCCTACTTACACGCCCTTATGACTGGCCGTAGCCATGCTCCAGACCCACGCAGAGGAAGGGAGACCACGCACTTACCACTCGAGAAGAAACACAAGCGGGCAAAGACTGCGAGCACATAGACCATCGCCAGCAAGCCATCCAGGATCCCGTGAGCCTGCAGCAGCAGAGCTGTGGCCAGACCGAATGACGTGAAGTCAGCAAAGTCATCCAGCTTGGCACCTGCAGCGAGTGACAAGTAGCTGCTCAGGTTGCGTGGTCGCTGATCCCAGCACCACAAATGGCAGGAAGGGGCAAACAGATTTCCCAAACCCAGCAGTGCTCTTGGGGTGAGTTCAGCATCACCCACTGGGGAACTCCATGGGCTGGACACGACTAGCATCATCACCACCAACACAGCACGTCCCTTACAGAGACTAAAGGAGCTACAGCTGTGCCTTGCTCAGGACCCAGAAGTGTCTAGACAGGGAGATTTCTGACAGCAGGGGTCTCTTTAGTCCAGCCAAGGCAGAATAAGAGCCAAGAGCTGGAAGTAGAAGCTAGTCACACTCAAGTGGAAATAAGGCCCAACTGTGTAACTGTCAAGATAACAAACCACTGGAAGAACAGGTAAGGGGCATGGTGGGGTTACTCTCTGGCTTGGGCTCCAGTGAGGCAGATGATGGCAGGAAAGATGTTCCAGCTTTGGCGGATGGGAAGAGTCAAGTTTTGACCTTTGATTTTACAAACCACTTGGAACAGTCAGCTAGGCACATTTTAAACTGCCCCCACTTTCTGGTGCAACTCCTTTCACCTCAAGAGAGGCCTGCCCTACTGGCTCCTTAGGGCCTCCCTCTGCCCTTCTGCCAAAGAGGAGGGTACTGAGCCTGGAGGATGTGGAGAGGAGACAGATCCTCTTGTCAAAGGGTTCATTTTTCCCCACGCTATTTCTGACCCATCCATGATCAAGTTCTACCTGATGAAGAAGGAGCTGAGTTAGGCATTCAGGCTTGGCACCTCCCAGGGCATGCATGAGAAGTTCAGTTTGCAAAGTGGATGAGTTTCTCCACTTTGGGAGCTCTCCTGTCCTCTCAAATGAGCCATATTGCTCCTCCTCGCCTTTCCGCACAGCCGTAGCGGAGCACTGAATTTGGCTGGTTTCACATTCAGTGCACAGTGAGACACACGATTTTCTCTCCCTCAAGGCTACTACGGGTGTGAAAAGGCACCTAGGATCACCACCGCTCCCTCCCCTCCCCACACGCAACAGCCTTGGAAGAGCTGGTGGGGAGCGGTACTGTTAGTTTTCAATCAGCCCGGGAATGCTGGAGAAGTTCCAGAAGAAGCTGGTGTGGTGCTGATATTTAGAAAGGGTAAGTGAGTTGACCCAGGTAATTACAGACCTGTCAGTCTGATCACGGAGCGGCTGACACAGGACTCAATTAATACAGAATTAATAGTGGTGCTGGAAATTATTTTGTTAATACATTTATTGCGGTTTGCCCTGACTCAGCTGCCACACAAGCATTCTTTTATTAGTTCCAAAGGCCACTTGATGTTGGTTACATCCAAAATACAGATGTAAACAGATAAACTCACAGTCAATATCCACCAACAATACAGTGATAAGCAAATAAGTGATAAGCCAAAAAACAACCAGATCAGGCCTGGAAGACACCTTCCCATGAAAGCACGACTCCAGAGAGGTAAGGAAAAGCTCGGACAAGGAACCCGTAGAAAAACCATGCTTTATATACGCTAATGCATGAGGGATGTCATTGCGAATTACTGGACCTTCGCTAAAGTCAGCTGACGCAGTTTATATTGCTTTGCCGTATTTTTCCCGAGCTACTGGTCTAAGCATTTCTAACCAATTATTTACTATGCCTGGGATCCAGTTAACACATTCTCTTTATTTCTGCTGCTTATCCTAAATCTTAAATAAGAAAACTCTAGTACTTCCAGGCCCAATACAAGTCTAACACGAACAATCCTTCATTCTCGTGATCTTTTTTTTTTTTTTTGGTCTCATGCTTCAGGCCTATCACGCATATTAAAATCCACACTCAATTTAAAACCATAGTTTAGTGGGGTCTAATGTGGGCTTATATTCCTATAGAAGGGTAATATAGTCAATGCCAACCAACACGTGTAAATGGAAAGTATATCCTGTCTAACTCTCTCTTTTTTTGACGGGATTACAAGTTTGGTTGCCAAAGGTAACAGTGACTTAATATACTTAGACTTCTGCAAGGCATTTGACATGGAACTGCATGTTATATGCATTAAAAGCTGCCTAACTGATAGATCTGAAAATGTAATTGTAAGCAGGGGATCATCGAGCCGATGTGTTTGTAATGGGCTCCAACTCTTAGCCTGACGCTGTTTCACATTTTTAATCAGTGACCTGGAGGAAAACAAAATAATCACTACTTATGTTTGCAGAGGCCACAAAACTGGGGGAGTGGTAAATAATGAAGACAGGTCACTGATACAGAGTGATCTGGATCGCTTGGTAAACTGGGCACAAGCAAACAATATGCATTTTAATGTGGCTAAATGTATCCATCTAGGAATAATGAATGTGGGCCATACTTTCAGGATGGGGGACTCTATCCTGGGAAGCAGTGGGGGTCATGGAGGATAATCAGCTGACCATGAGCTCCCAGTGTGACACTGTGGCCAAAAGAGCTAATGTGATCCTGGGATGCATAAACTTTATTACTCCTGAGGACATTCTGCACCACAAAATAATAAATTCTGCACATAGTATTTTAAAATTCTGCAAAATTCTGAAAATTTTATTTGTCAAATAAATGTGGACACTCCAGATTGGCACTGGGAAGCACAGGCCACTGGCTGCACTGAGGTGGGAAATCACTGTGCGGCTCCCCCCAGGATACGGACTCAGCAGTGAGGCTGCACCCAACCCTGACACAGAGCAAGCCAGGCCTATCCCAGAAACACCCCAGGGCCCTGCTCCTCCGTGCCAGGTATACCAGGTGCGGGCAGGCAGGCTCAGGAAGGCATGATCCAAGTGTGGAGGGGCCTAGTGGGGGGGGATCCAGGTGTGGGTTGAGATACTTCGGTGTGTGGCAATCTGGGCGCAGGAGGGATCTGGATGCACAGTGGCTTGTTGGGGGATTTTGGGTGCAACAGTAATGGGACTCCACAGGGGGATCCAGGTGAAGGTGGTTGAGGCTTGGCAGGGGGGTCTGGGTGTGGGGAACTCAGTGGGAGGGTCCAGATGCTGGGGGCTCAGTGGGGTCGGGATCCAGGTGCAGCTGGTTAGGGCTCAGTAGGGTGTGGATCCAGATGCAGGTGGCTCATTGGGGTGGTTTAGGTGCAGGGGGAGTGGGGCTTGTCGGGGGTGGGGGGTTCTGTGTTGGGGGGGGAGAGGGGGAGGCTCGGTAGGAGGGTCTGGGTTTGAGGGGGTCTAGATGCACAGGGGTTGGGGGAGCAGCTCCCTGTACAGTGATCTCTTCCCCTGCAGCTGAGGAGCAATAAGTGCAGGAAGGTGAGGGGGAGAAGGGGAAGGCCAGTTTGCAGAGCTTCCTACAGCCGGGGGAGAAGTCTGGGGGTGGGTCTGACACAGCCCCAGATGCTGTGCGGGGGGAAGAGGAAGTCCCGTCCCCCCCAGCCCAGCTGGGACTAGCAGCTGAGCCCAGCACAGGGTGGGAGCAACCAGCCAGGTCTTCCCCAGTCCCATCCCCTGCCCCACAGTGAGTTACCGCTCTGCCAGCTGCCCTGGGCACCCGAAACATACTGCTGGGGAGGGTCGTATGACCGCTCTTGTGGCTTCCCTTTGCTTCCTCATCAGAAAGTCATTTTCTGTGGGGAAGAAAAGAAATCTGCAGGGGACATAAATTCTGTGCACGCACAGTGGCACAAAATTCCCCAAGGAGTAATAAACAGGGGATTCTGGAGTAGGAATAGAGGTTATTTTACCTGTGCCTTTGGCACTGGTGTGACCATTGCTGGCATCCTGGGTCCAGATCTGGTTCTCACAATTCAAGGAGGATGTTGGTAAATTAGAGCGGGTTCAAAGAAGAGCCACGAGAATGATTAAAGGATTTGAAAACCTGCCTTATAGTGATAGACTCAAGAAGCTCAATCTATTTAGCTTAACAAAGAGAAGGTTAAGGGGTGACTTGATCACAGTCTGTAAGTACCTACACAGGGCACAACTGCTTAATAATGGGTTCTTCAATCTAGCAGAGAAAGGGCTAACACGATTCAGTGGCTGGAAGTTGAAGCTAGACAAATTCAGACTGGATATTAGGTCTAAAATTTTAACAGTGCGGGTAATTAACTACTGCAACAATTTACCAAAGGTTGTGGTGGATTCTCTGTCGCTGAGAATTTTAAAATCAAGATTCAGCGTTTTTCTAAAATATCTGCTCTAGGAATTATTTTAGGTAACTTCTCTGGCCTGTGTAATATCGGAGGTCAGACCAGATGATCACAATGGTCCTATCTGGCCTTGGAGTCTATTAATCTACAAAGAGTAGGTGCCCTTTGGCTTAAGAACTTTCCTGCTTACTTCAGCTGAGGACTGACAAAGGCATAACCTGTTTCCCTGCCCTGGCACAAACCCACCCGCACCTGAGGACAAGTCAGAGTCCCATACTCCCAAGATTACCAGGTACTGGAGGCAGCCACCATTTACAATTAATCCTGCCAATTCAGATAGTTGGACAGAGCCAGCACTAACCAAGTACTGGCTAAGAGAAAGGCAGTCCTCTGCTTTCCCCACTTCCTGTACTTGCCAAGCTTCCAGTGGAGGCTCCCCATTGACTTGTGCAAGTGTCTTGGTGCACAGCACAGTTAGAAGTAAACCACACCCTAGAGCATGAGACACCAGAATTGGTGCCACCACAAGATGGGTTTGAGTCAATGGGGAAGGACAGGGCATAAATAGCACCAGCACAGTCTAGAGTTATGGGAGACAGGAGGTGCTGCAGGAAAGGAGGAAGAGGAATTGGTCTGGAGAAGGTAATTAAGAGAGCTTCTGTTCTTGCTCTTTCATAACACCAGAACAAGGGACCATTCAATAACATTGAAATGTGACAAATTCAAAACTGATAAAAGAAAATCCTTTACACAGTGGGCCTCATTTACACAGTGAGTCTGTGAAACTCATTGCTAGGCTGTTGTTGAGGCCAAGAAGTTGGTAACATTCAACAAGGGATCGAGAACAAGAATATTCAGCATTACAATAACTAATGCTAACAAAAGAAATTTTGGAAGGGAGGGATATAAAACTGGATGCTGCAGGGCTCAGCCTGATCTCTGATTATATGGGGTTAGAACAAGACATTCACATGGAGGTTCAATTAGCCCACACCTGCCAGCCAAGAGGGTTCGTGCACCTTCCTGTGGCATCTGGTTCTGGGGCTGGGCATGTCAGGGGCAGAATACAGGACTAGAAGGACCAGGGGTCTGAGCTGGTATGGTGTCTTCCTATGTTTCTGCTTTCCTCCCTCTATGTTTCCCTCCTTCCTATGTTTCTGCTTCTCTACTCCCCCGAGCAGATACTTTTACTTCATTCGTCTTGGGGGCCAAAATTATTAGTAGTAGCAATTATTTGTTCTGTAAGACACAAAAGACTTTTACTGCACTAGACAGTTAAACCCAGCCCCAAAGAGTTACTGTCTGCAAGAGAAGAGGAGTTCAAGCTCCGTTTTTAGGACTCGGTCTTCGTTTTCCCTGAAGACCCTTTCTTTTAAAATTGGCACCTTCTTCTATGCTCCCTGGGTGTATCAAAGCCTCATCTGCCAACTTCACTGACTAAAATAAGTGTAGTTGTTTTCATTCCCATTGGCCCTGGAGAGCCAAGCTACAGCAGAGGGAGCAGGAGTCGGTTCTGGCCTGCGTATCGTCAGAACTGTTGACCCCCTGAGCCTTATGGAACAACCTAGCTTGACTCCTGGTTCCCAAGGGCACCTGGCAGGGCTGCCAGTTAGAAAAATGCTGCTTATAAACCAAGCACACCTGATCTAGAGTCGCTGAGAGACAACAAACCTGGAGAGCACCACAACGCCTTTTTCCCAGGAAACCAGTGAGCCAGTGGGGCCAGAGGCCGAGTTGCTCAGATGGAGGCAGTGTCCACAGCTCAACCCTACGCATGCTGCTCTACTCCCAAACATGGACTTACCTGGCTACATGCACAGGACAATCCTACATGGGGCACAGAGAGTCCATCATAGAGAAACAACCTGGGAATGTCCAGGGGCCTGGCTGTATAGTCCTTGCACTCCCAAAGCCCAATTCGGTGTTGCCCTGGGGCAATCATTCACACCAGTCCAACACAGGTGTTAAATGCCACCATTCAGATTTGGGAGCGGGAGTTTATACTCACTTTGCACTTGTGTAAAAGACTCCCCCAAGTGCAGGGCAATGGCGAATCTGATCCCAGTGACTGCAGTGGAGGCTTTGGGTGGGTTAAAAGTGTAGCACTGGACTCCAGATCCCTACCCATCTCATGAACTTATCTTTTGAATACTATATTTAGCCCTCTGCCTTTGCAAGGCTGATTCTGTATTCACATACTCCTGTGGTACAGCAGGCCTGGAAAACCTAAACCATACCATATAACTCTCTTCGCGCTGGTCTGAAGGATAACAGATGAAGGCGGACTGCACTGGAAATTTGGATCTAATATACAATTTCTCTCCTCTGCCTCCAAACAGACTCTTCCATTAGCATGCTGCAGGAGTTGACGTAGAGCAATCACTATGGCCCAAATAGTTGGGTGGGAAAAAAAACAGGTGGCAATAGAAAACTAAGGGAGGTTTCTCTCAGTTTCCCCATCAGATCATTTATTGGCGATACAGGGAAGTTGCCTCCCTGCAGAATTAGAAGGGTTTTAAACCCACCCATCGGCAAGACTCACCACTCCAGAGTTTCACATGGATCTTGGGCCAAGCCAGAAACAAGGGCTCTTTGCAGTCAATCTGATGGTGGAAGATGAATGGAGAGCACCCATCCACATATGTGGATCCCCACTGGAAGTGGAGTCAAGGGGAAGAGTGCAGCAGAAGTCTCCATTCCACAGCCTCTGGACAGGGATGCAGTATGTTTCCTCTCTCTGTCCAGACGCCAGGGTCAAGGCCTGTTATTTTCCCCTCCCACACGGAATTTGCTCCCCACCTGTGTTTTCCATACCGACAGCTCAAACTGATATGGCTGTTTTAGTGATTCATAACGGCCTGTCTGCAATGCCATCATTTACGAGAACGACTGGAGAAACTGCTGCTGCTGATTGACTACCAGGAGAGGCACCATGTTAATGGCTATTGAGTTTTGGTGTTTCAATTTGCAACAAGGAAGGCTAGAATTAAAAAAGGACATAATCTGAAATCCTCTGGATTCTAATACGTTCCAGGCAAATTGGGGACTAACTGCGATTCTGAAGAATGCTTTTAAAGCACAGAATCCTGACCGAAATCTCAGAAATTCTACAGGCAAACGACCCTACGTTTAGCAAGAAGCCCCCAACACCAACGTGTGTAACGATTACCTGGCACAACAGTCTCTGTGCTTGAAAACCCACTGTCTGGTTGTGCAGTGATGGGGTAGCAATACAGCCCGTGGGCTAATTTTATCCCTAGGGTGCAATTTATCCTGCCCGACAGGGATGAGTGGACCTGTTATGTCTCGTTTGTTCATTAAGTAGATTGGACACTGCCTGTCTCACAGCCTGAGCAACAGGCCTCGTATTCTGAGCTTCTAAAGGACGACAAGATGGAACTCACCCAGGGCTGAGCAAGCATTCAGTTGCCTAGCAACCGCTCCGTCAGCTAGGTCAAGCAGGAACCCGATCAGGAGCAGCCAGCAAGCACAGTGGTATTGCCTAGAGGACAAGAGCAAGGGAAGGACATTAGGGTCTCCATGACTACGTCAGGTTCAGAGGTTTATAACAGGCAACAAGAGCAGGGTTGCTGGGAGACAGCCTGTGAAGCTGGAATGCGCATGGCTCTGCATCAGTGCAGGAGACTGAAGTCAGAGCTCACGCCCAGATCTTCTGATACACGCTGCCTTTCCCACCTCCCAAGCAGTAGCTCTCCCAGGGGCCTGCCCACACCTCCTGCTGCCTTGTTCACACAGGCTCTCCGGAAGGGGAGGAGCAAATTCCACTCTGTGATGTAGGGGAGACAAGAGTCCTGTTCCGTACACATGCCACTTGCTCAGCCTTGGAAGAAGGGGACGTCCTTGACCTTGACCACAGGCAGGGGCTGATAGGCTTCAATAGGGAAGCATTAGAGGATAATCACACAGGGGAGGAGGAGGGCAGTCAGCAGTGTGTCCGGGATGGCATGGCCTTGACTGAACCGGATTAAAGTGCGTAAGAGCTTCCCAGGGAGATCAAGCAGCCAAAACAGATTTGGCAGGGGAGCGTTGCAAGATGCCTTAGCATGGGGGCAATCATTTTTGCAGCGCAAAATAAGTCCCTCCCCAGCTCTTCACTCTCCTGCTGATGTCCCCCCAACGTGCCTATGGATCTCCTGCATTGTCCTTCCAAGGGCCCCTCTGTTTTTGTTCAAGTTGTGTCTCTGTCCCTCCCAGGTGTAAATGGAGGACAGAATTTGGTCCAACTTAGTAACAGGATACTGACTAGCAGTACAGTGCTGCGACTTCCTGGGCTCTGGGAGTTACTGTAACATCTGGCCAAGGCATCACTCATGGGCGGCAAGAACAACAGACTCAGCCTCCCCTCGTGCAGCCACTGCTGCCGGACCCCTGTTGTGGGTTTGGTGGGGGAAATTTTTGCTTTTTATTATGCCCCATGCAGGTTCTGGGGTGGCTGAGGCAGCGGAATGTGCTACTCAGCTTCCTGGGTTCATCAGTAACTCGCTAGACTCCAGGGAGATGAACCCAGGAAGCTGAGTAAGACATACCGCCTCTCAGCCGCCCCAGAACCTGCATGGGGCATAGCAAAATCTCAGGTTCCTCTTCTGGAAGAGAGACAACAACAGCTTTTGAATTTTCCCATGGGGAGGCTTGGGGTCTGCAGAGGGGAGGTGTGGTCGCGGTGGCTCTGGCCAGCCCAGGGCTCCTCTAAGCAGGTTGGGGGGCCCCCCCCTCAGGGCTCCGGCTGGCACGGGGCTCCTTTGGCAGTGGGGGGGGGGGCGCAGGGTGGTTTCAGGGCTCTGGCCGTGGAGGGGAGCAAGGGGAAGGGGTGGAGTGGGGCTCCACTCGCCACTCATGGCTTTGCTGCTTTCATAAGCGCCGCATTTATTCATTCCTGTGCACCAGGCACATCCCTTAGGCTGCTGAGGTACGATCTCCATTTGGTTGCTGTGGTACAAGGTGGTATCCAAACGGCAACAGAATCCCTGCCCTTCAAGGAGTATCTGTTCATCTGTCATCCACATCTACCTAATTTGTTGTGTTCACTTCACCTTGAGGGAGAAAGGGTGAGCGTCTCTCGTCCAAACAGAGCTAATACATTTCCCTGCAGGCATTCGATGATCGCAGAGGTTCCTAAATATGATTCATGAAAAGGGCCTTACCAAATTCACAGCCATGAAAAACAAGTCATGCACCATGAAATCTGGTCTCCCCTGTGAAATCTTGCTATTGTAGGGGGGTCACGGTATTGCCACCCTTTCTTCTGCACTGCCTTCAGACCTGGGCGGATGGAGAGTGGTGGCTGCTCGCCGGCACCCAGCTCTGAAGGCAGCACAACAGAAGGGAACCGTCCTTACTTCTGTTGGCAGCAGCGCTACCTTCAGAGCGGGGTGCCCGGCCCCCAGCTACTGCTCTCATGCCCCCGCTACAATAGTCTTGAGACCCTCTTTTGGGTCAGGACCTCCTGTTTGAGAAATGCTGACGTCTGAAGACATCTGCAAAATTTGCTATTTATGCCATGACCAACTCGTGAAAAATTAGTGATTTCTCCATGATTTAAGTAGACCTCTATTCATAAATGGGATATTTGGGTGCAAACCCCAAATTGTGTGGTTTAATACCACTTAGAAACGACAGTAATAGGTGTTATAGAAATATCCAAAATAGGTACTGGGTTGTCCTATTATGTTCTCTCTTGCACAATTTTTGTTTGCCCCATGGATCAAAATGTTTGTATTGTAATTTCATAGTTTTCACTACACTGCATACCATGAACTCCTGGCCCTTTGCACTGCCAGCCAGGATAGAACTCAGCTCCTCCAGTTATGAAAGCAGAATCTCCTCCCACCTGAGCTAAGTGTTGAATAATAAATGTTCCTTTTGATTTTATAGACTAAGTTTTTTGTTTAAAAAACACCCAAACCTAAATTTGGGGGCTCTATTGCTTGACATCTCCCTTCCCCCCTCACTTTAATATTAACAGGTTTCAGAGTAACAGCCGTGTTAGTCTGTATTCGCAAAAAGAAAAGGAGTACTTGTGGCACCTTAGAGACTAACCAATTTATTTGAGCATGAGCTTTCGTGAGCTACAGCTCACTTTATGGGATGCAACCGATGAAGTGAGCTGTAGCTCACGAAAGCTCATGCTCAAATAAATTGGTTAGTCTCTAAGGTGCCACAAGTACTCCTTTTCTTTTTAATATTAACATAAATCGTGCATTAGGGAGCCATCTGTGTTACCACAACAGAGTCACGTACACCACGATCAGATCTGTAGTGTGGACAGGAGCTAGCCGTATTGTAACCAGGTCACATAACGAAGCTAAAGCCTGGCATGTGACCAAGGCTCAATTACAGAGCTTTACTCTAGTCAGTGGAACTACGCCAATTTACACTATGGGGGACTGTGACGAAGTGGGACTGTTCTTAATGTTTCCTCTGAATAGTGTGGGGGTGCCTCAGTTTCCCCTAGGCAGTTCTTAAGTATCTAGGTGGTGGGATAAGGGTGTATGATCATTGCAGAGCCCTAGAGGGCAGGTGTGTGCAGGGGTCTGGACACAGAGAATGGCCGACACCCTGTTTCCTGGCAACTGAGGGCCTGGGCCCTTCCCCCCTGCAAGGTGAGAGCTAAAGGGTTGGAAAACAAAGGAATCAGGTGACCTCCTGGCCCGGGAAATGGACAAAGCCCAGAGGAGGAGGGGCTGGAGGGAGTTTCAGTTGCGGGCTGGCTGGGACATGGAGTGAAGGGCAGACGTGGTTGTCTGGCTCACTGCCCCCCAAAATGGACCCAGCTGAGGGGTCCTGTTCTCTGCACCTGCAAGCTCTGTTTTAGACCATGTTCCTGTCATCTAATAAACCTCTGTTTTACTGGCTGGCTGAGAGTCACGTCTGACTGTGAAGTTGGGGTGCAGGACCCTCTGGCTTCCCTAGGAGCCCCGCCTGAGCGGACTCGCTGGGGGGAAGCGCACGGAGGGGCAGAGGATGCTGAATGCTCCGAGGTCAGACCCAGGAAGGTGGAAGCTGTGTGAGCTGTGTGTCCTGAAGACAGGCTGCTCACAGGAAGGCAACTGCCCCAGAGTCCTGACTGGCTTCATGGGGAGCAGTTCCAGAGCATTGCCCAGGGACTCCGTGACAGGGACTAAGAAACCAGCCCTTTTACTGAGCTGTAACCAAGCCTCCAACTCTGTTTTTGTAGCTACAGACAGGCTTAAAGTGAAGCTAAGGAGAGCAACAACTGCACACTAGACTGCCACGTTGGCTCTGCTCCAGGAAAGTGTCTCCCTGGGATTCCCCCTCCTGAACGAAACAGCACACAAGTGATATCACATGGAAATAACTCTTAGGCCATGCAGTGCTATTTGTTGTTCTATCAAAGAACATTTCAAATGTTTGCCTGGAGGGCAAAAGTCTGGGATGACCACCTCTTTCCTTTTTATTCTATTTTATGAGCAGACACGATTCCCTGTTTGACAAGCCCCGATGAGATTTCAGACCCCGAGTTAGCAGTCTGAACTGAGGCAGATCTCTACAGTGATGTCAACAGGAGCTGTATCTGAGTAGGGCTGCTGGACTGGGCAGTCAATTCCGGATGCACCATATAAATTAACAAGTTCAAGGAATATTTTTAGCTGGGTATCCTTACAGGACAATATAAGTAAAGGCCCCTTTGGCATCCTGCAGAAATTGATGGAAATTCCCACTCATACGGGAGGAAGACAACCTTGAATATATTCCCCTGTGCCTGTTTAACTCTCTTCAATCACTTCGCTGTTTTGTTACCTCGTCAGGTCGCTTTTCTTTCCTACCTACCGTGTTGCTTACTGAGCCTAGAGGAGATACTTTGGCAGCACACTGGTAATGCAGTGCAGAGAAATTTTACGGTACATAGGCCAATTCTTATCCTGATTTACAGTCCAGGCATTCCACTGAAGTCCACAAGGGGGCAGAGGGTATAAATCATGGCAGGACATAGCACAGAAATACCTTGTGGCAACAGCCACCCCTCACCAGCGCCGATAGCCGTCACCTTGGAGATGTCAGGGGACATCAACGCAACCTGGTCACCTTAGGCCACGCCCACACGAGGACAAAATGTCACGTTTTGAAATGCACACCTGTTAGCAAATGGTTTGTCTACACAGCACCGCAGTGCAGCTACGGGGGTAAGAACTGCAGAGCTCACCAGAGCGGCTCTTTAGCTGCCCCCTGCGCACGCTGTGGGTGTGAACTAAAAGGTTCCTAGTTCACATTAACACAGTCCTGGTGGAAAGACTGAATTCACGTGCACTCGGTCCTTTTTGGTTTGCAGCAGGAGTGTCCACAGGGCAGTTAGTGTGCAGACCTTTGGTGCACTCTGCCATTCACACCCCTGTAGTCTTTTCAAACGTAAAGATGGCCTTACCGGCCCAGACCCTTCCCCCAGTGGGGCAAACAGAAGTTTTGCCATTGATTATAATGCGGATTCCCTGTCCCTCCCTCCACCCCTGCCAATTATGCAGTCCTTCCCATGAAATCACGACACTGTGTGAAGCCCCAGACCCAGACATACCCATTTAGACTGCAGAGGATGGAAGACAGACCCATGATCAGGTTAGCCACAGAGAGGGCATTGGCGACATTCTTGCGGACAAACTCCAGAGCCTGGGCTCGGCCTGCTTGCTCACTCAGGAACAGCTTCTTAAAGTGGTGAAATATACCTGGAACCCAGCAGGGGGAGAAAGAGTCAGGACGAGAAGACCTTTGCGGCTGCCTTTCAAAAGGAAATTATTTAAGCACAGATCCTTGAAGAACAGGAGAGGCCCAATGGATCAGCGTTGAGTCTATAGTTAAATTCCCCAAGTATCTGTGAATCGCGTCTAGGGTCAAGCTGAGGGAGTCTTAGAGAAGGCTGATTTTATTGTGTGAACATGGAGCTAGGTTTCTTATAGGGATCCTATTGCAATGTGTCCTGGGACACAGAACAGCTGTTACAAGGGGACAGGAGCTTCTTGGCCTTATAGGTTTTTTTCCTTAAATAAAAGTAAAGCCAATAAAACACTAAATACCAATTGCAGCCCAGTTTGGATTTTAAAGAATTGATGCAAAAGTGGCGGAACAGGGACAAGGACTAGTGCCCCGCAACTCCAATGCTCTATATTTAGATCCTTCCTTCAAAAAAGTTTGTTTTGGGACAGCCTTACAAAGAGGGGAGTTTTCCGGCTATTGGTGTGTAAATTAGTACCTGACTCCTCTTCTTCGTGGGGAGACCCGAGACAGCCAGCAGTTCCTCTGCCATTAAAGGGGTCAGCACTCATCTTGGTGCTTCCTTTGGCAGCTGTCAATGCTGAAGTGCCAGCCTGGCTGTAGCCCTTCTGCCCCACATCATGAGACGATTAACATGAGATTAGCTCCCAGAGGTGTCTTTTAAAAACCATACATGCTGCCCAGAGTATTTTCATGCACTTTCAAGCCTTATAGTTTCACACCTGCCTAATTTCTAGTCACTGCATGTCCTCACTCAGCTCAGCTTCACTCACTTGCAATGATCTGGCCAGTTGCAGCCTTTGCATTCTTATATATGCACACCTGTATAGATTCATAGGGATAGATGCCTTTTGCTTTCCTCTGTCCTTGAATAGCATGTTACAGAGGGGAGGAAAGACTGCAACATTAAGATGTCATCTCAGGTAGTAGCCCAGAAGAATTGCTACCTCTGTAGACTTTTTATTCATAGGAAGGGGACATTCCTGTGCAGGGGGCTAGCACAAAGCCTACGCACCACTGAAGTCATCAAAATTGGGTTTAAATGGAGCATAGGGCTTGTGCTGGCCAAAAGTGATGGGAGTTTATGCACGTTAGTTTTGAAAGACATTGGGGGGGGGGGGACCACATCAGTTGAGTTCTAAACCACCGCAGCCAGAGATAACATCACAAATGAGCAATTCACTCTTCAGATGTCCAGCCCAGCTGCCCCAGTGGCTTTCATTCACCCCATTCTATAACCATGTGCCACAATTATACAATTGAATATGCATTTTTTTAAAAAGCTTATCAGAAAATTCTTAAAGCTGTTTCTATTTTACTCCCCCACACCCAACCACTAAAAGAAACATTTTTACTTAGGAAAAAAACCAAAAACCAAAACTTACAATAAAACCAACCCCACGTTTTAAGCTCTATTTATCTTATATACCTATAGGGCTACTCTTTAGAGAAAAAGGTTAAGGGTCATGTCCTACTAGTGTGTTTTGCACCCTGCCCTTGACGTGTTTCCAAAGCCAGGCAAGTTCATGAGATTCTTCATCTGAAAGAAAACAGCATGTCAGAGCAAAAGCCATCAATGTGAAACGAGTCAGATTGGTGTATACGGCTTTACCGCCCTCCCTTCAAGCCCTCCCAAGGCTCATACTGGGACAATACAGTAAAAGCCAGTAACGTGTAAGACACATCTTTATCAAAGTTTCACTAGCACTTGCTCTCGTGAAAACAAGTTTCCCACGAGGCAGCCATTGGGCCCCCATTTGGAGGTACCATCTGCAGTCAGGCTTATTCTTTTTAAACTTCAGCGGCCTGCTCACTTGCTTGATCTTTGTACAAAAGCACAAGTTAGTTTTTAAAAAATAACTGTTAAACATCCCATCAAAACTGTAAAGCTGTGTCCATTCTAGGCAAAGTCAGAGGAACCGAGGGAACTAGTCCACTTAAACCTAATACTTGAGCAGATAAAACATGCACCTGGAGGACTACGAAGTCTATTTACCCCACATTAGAAACAACCCCATTTAGATTAACATAAAACACAGCAAAAAATTGGTTAGAAGAGGCACCATTTACATCAGTGTGTGCATTTGAAATGTTTGATTGACTAAAACCAAACTGATTGTCAAAGTAATGCTCATGAATCACTGAAATGAGATACCTACTAACAGATCTCCCAAGGTAAAAATGTTTCCTGTACTTAGGGCTTGTGGGGAGCTGTCAATTACATCCAAATTTTCAAATGAACTTCCTGAAAAATATTCTGTAAGAAATGAAATGTAAAGGACAGATTCTTTTGTAACCATCAAAAGCTGAAGAGCTGGGCTGTTGGTTCATTTAGCATCTGTTCCATTTTTGTAGGCTGTGTTCTTTTACCACAAGCTAAGAGAAATGTCAAAGGTTACAGACACCATGGAAAGAGAGGCAAGTAACATACAAGAAATCGGGGTGATTCCATATGAATTAAATGCATGTCTATTTGTAGATTTGGGACCAAATTTGCCACCTCACTTTGGCTGCTCTGTACTGTTACAATGATTAAAAGCAGCAATAAACCAGTCTTCAACAACCATTTAAACCAAGTTTGCAGCCACCTAGCTCCTTTATGCTGCAAACTTGGTTTAAATGGTTGTTGAAGACTGTGGTGTGGTGATGAAAAATGTACTGGTGATACTGGCTCATTATATTTGCAGGGATAAGGCTGTTTACAAGATTACACCCGTGCACTCCCACACAATTCAGTAGATACAACCAAGGGAAGAGTCTTGTCTCTCTATCTCGAGTGCTTTTTTAATTGTGCTGCTGGTTGGAGATTGGGAACAGCAATAAAGAAATAACATTTTTAAATAGATTATAATTGCACTTTAACTTTTCATCTCAGTAATGTAAAGACTCCAATATCACTGTTTATCAAAGAAATAGAAGGCCGCCTATATGCACAAAAAAAAACCACAAAACGGCAGGGAAGGGCAGGAACAAAAGAAAAAAATCCCCTGCCCTAACTTGTCCACCTTTGTGCAACTATGGGAACTGAAAACAGCAGCCAATGGTAAGAAGCCAGTTTCAATCATTTTATTCAATCGCTCATTTTCTTCTCTGGAGCAAAATTCATCCCTTTGTAACACCATTGACTTTAATAGGTTTGTACTAGGCTTGAATGTAGTTTTGTATGTTACAAGCGACTTGGCATCAGATCTTGTATTGGGCATTCCATTGAAAACTGGGGCTCTGGGTTTTCAGCAACTGAAACTAAGCCTGGGGCAGAAGACCCACTTGCAAGGGCCTATGTACCATTTAAATCCCATTTAACTCTTGAAAATAGGGTTTATGTAGGACTTAAGAACACCAGGGTGCCTTGCAAGCGACCCTCCATACAGGGTGGGTATCACCCAGAGTGAAAGACTGAGCCTTCTATTCTGAGACCCACTCATTCCAGCCTGCAGAGTGTTTTCCTGGGTTACACACATTCCGCTTTGTACCAGTTTGCTTTGTTTTATGTTAATTCACCTGCATTCTATATATTCCAGCAGGAACCTTTAGCACCGGGACTTCGTTTCCTCTCTCAATTAGAAGGGAACTTTTTCTCCCTCTCTATTGCAAGGACAGTGCAGTCATGTTGTAGGGAGAGTTGCAAATTATCTTGACCTTTCCCTACCTGGATTTGGGGTCTACCCAAGATGAAATTTTTGTCTTCCCTATGTAATTTTGCAGAAGAACCTCAGATGATCCTTGGAGGATTCCTATTCAGGTACAGACCCAGCCAGATCCTGTTTAGCAACATACTCTGGAGGCACAATGGCAGGATGGGCATAATATAGTGCATGTTTTATGTGCTAAAATAGTATTTTAAGTGAACAGCTCTCTTCATTCATATCCCAAAACACCAGTTAACAGCTCCTTAGTTTGGTGCAATAAGTGGACATCACAATTCATACTATACCTCTCAAATGGAACACATCTGTGATGTTTAAAGACAAAAAAAAGACTTCTTTGCCTATAAATTATTTCATCATCAGGTACTATTCCCTCTGCCTTTGAATGCCTAGTGTATTGAACACTGAGCAGTCACACACACCGCTGCCCCTACTCAATAATCACCACCCACCTGATTTTATTTGTTGCTTTTGTTGGAATTCAGCAACTAACATGCAGCCAAATGCAACAGATGCAACATTAACAAGAGACCCTCACAGCGTATTAAATTTAAAAATCTAACCACGGATATTCAGTTTTACTCCTTCAGCTTTTCCAGCTGAATTAAACAAAATACTTAAATCTATTTAAGGAACAACCCCTGATAGGACACCTGTTCTCACCCCATACCAAATGGACCTTTCCCCATCTCTATGATTTTCTGTCACAGTTGAGAGGTAGGCCGAAAATTATTGCAAATGTCATGAAAGTGTTTTGTCTTCAGACACACAGGTGGATCTGGCTCATGCTAGAAAATTCCCAGAATGAGCCTTGCAAGTGTCTTTTCCTTAGATGCCAATACCGTTACAAGTCCAAAATTTAAAAACATCCAAGATCTCTGCTGGGATTTTTTTTTCATTATTATGATTTGATGTACAACAGCTGTTCTCCCACATTATGAGCTTCTTCAGAAGAAACAGAACCTCTGAACTGAATCTGCCAGGCAGCGGCTTGCTGGTTTTTTTTTATTCTACCACTGATACTGGCTCAAGTTTTATTTATTATGAAACAGTTATTTTCACAGGGAGCATACAACAGGGTCTTGACTGAGCGTTAACAGAAACCTACCAAAGGCCTAGAGGCCTGATTTTCCCCTCACGCACACTGGTACAAACCCAGAGTAACTCACTAATGTCAGCGGAGCTACATCACCATACAGAGGAGGTGAGACTCATGCCCTATGCAGTCCTTCACATCCATGCAACGTGGGTATAAATAAATCCCCCACGCCAGATGTCTTTATTCACTTACACTCATTTAGGGCCTG